TGCCGCTCCTAGGTATGTACCCAACAGAAATGAATAATTCCATTCACCAGAAGATCACAGGATGTTTGTGGCTGTGTGATTTGAGTAGCCCTAATCTGGAAAATGTCCAAATGCCCAGCAATAGCAGAATAGATAAAGCATCCTCTCTTCAAACATGGAATAATATACAGCAGTGAACACGAACAAACAAGATGTGCAATAACTTTGGTGAGCTGTCAGACTATCATCAATAAACCCACAAACAAGTGCTGGTGAGGATGTGGAGAGAAGTGAACCTGCTTGTGCACGCTGGTGGGAGCTGGAGTTTCCTCAATAAATTAAAAGTGACCCAGCAGTTCCACTTCTGGGATTTTATCTGAAGTAACCCCAAACACTAATTTGAAAGAATATATGCACCCTTATGTTCACTGCAGAGGTATTCACAATCGCCAAGATTTGGAAGCAGCCCAAGTGTCCATCAGTAGATGAGTGGATAAAAAAGCTGTGGTGCATGTACACAACAGAATACTACTTGGCCATGAAAAAGGATTAAAAAAATAGCTAATCCCGTTGACATTCAATATTATATTAGATTCAGGTGTACAGCATTGTGGTTAGACATTAATGTAACTTAGAAAGTGATCACTTGGATAAGTCTGACACCATACGTAGTTATTACAATATTATTGTCTATATTCCCTGTGCTGTACTCACCTCCCCATGGCTGTCTTTATACCTGGAAATTTATTTTTAATCCCTTCACCTTTTCACCCAGCCCCCAGCTCCCCTCCTATCTGGCAGCCCTCAGTGTGTTCTCTGTGAGTCTGTGAGTCTGTTTCTGTTTTGTTTGTGTTTTGTTTTGAAGGCTCCGCATCTAAGTGAAATCCATGGTAGTTGTCTTTGTCTGATGTATTTCTCTTCATGTGTGAATTTTTATGTATTTTTAATTTTTCAAAACATTTAAGTCCCGTTGACATTCAATATTATATTAGATTCAGGTGTACAGCATTGTGGTTAGACATTAATGTAACTTAGAAAGTGATCACTTGGATAAGTCTGACACCATACGTAGTTATTACAATATTATTGTCTATATTCCCTGTGCTGTACTCACCTCCCCATGGCTGTCTTTATACCTGGAAATTTATTTTTAATCCCTTCACCTTTTCACCCAGCCCCCAGCTCCCCTCCTATCTGGCAGCCCTCAGTGTGTTCTCTGTGAGTCTGTGAGTCTGTTTCTGTTTTGTTTGTGTTTTGTTTTGAAGGCTCCGCATCTAAGTGAAATGTATTTCTCTTCATGTGTGACTACACCGAGCCCCTTTCTCAGCTGGGAAAGAGCCGTCTTCAGAGCGGCCGGAGGTCTGACCTCAGAGGCCGGGAGAAGGAGGGAGAGCCTGGGCCCTGCCCTGCCCCAGCAGCTGCAGTAACAGCTGTATTATTGCTACGGGGTCAGAGCTAAGGACCCTGAGCTGCGTCACCGGGAAAAATAGGAAGCCCTGTCCTGGCTGCCTCGCCTGCTTGCAGGGGTGGGGGGGTGGCGTGAGAATGAATGGGCGAGGGGAGAGGGGAGGCAGTGGCCCCAGCTTCCCTCTGGTGGCTCCGAGGTCAGCAGCCCCGTGTCTTTCTGTCTCATTTTCTTTCCTTCTCTTACTTCGCAGTCTCATCGGACCAGATCGAGCAGCTCCGCCGGAGGTTTAAGCAGCTGAGCGGAGACCAGCCCACCATTCGGTGAGACAGGCAGCTGGGGGCGGGGTGGGGGGCGCTGGCAGGTCCGGGCACTGGGGACTTTCTCTCCGTGTGTCTCTCTCCCTGCGTGCCCATCTGCGGCAGCTGTTTTCACTCCCCGGGCGGGCGCCTGCAGGACAGGATGCTCTCCCTGAGGGGAGGAGGAGCCATCCCTACCTCTTTCGGATGAGAAACGTCTAACTGGATTGAAGATGGGGGTGGTGGTGCAGAGTAGCCAGCCGCCCACCTCACCCGACCTCCTCAGGTGGACCGAGCTGCCGGACTCTGGTGCCGGCACACGTGGAGGTCGTGTGAAATGTGTGAATGTGGGGTCCTGCCCACTGCGGGGTGCAGCCGGGGTTTCTCTTCATGTGTGACTACACCGAGCCCCTTTTCAGCTGGGAAAGAGCCGTCTTCGGAGCGGCCGTAGGTCTGGTCTCAGAGGCCGGGAGGAGGAGGGAGCGCCTGGGCCCTGCCCTGCCCCAGCAGCTGCAGTCGCGGCTCAGATGTCAGAGGCCCCGTCTCTGACTCCCTCCCTCCGGTGGTTAGTGCTGACTTTGGTTAAGATGCTGGTGACGGCCCGGCCAGTGTGCTCAGTGGTTGAGCATCAACCTATGGCCCAGGAGGTCTCGGTTGGATTCCGATGGAGGGTTCTCTCGCATCATTGATGTTTCTCTTTCTCTTTCTCCTCTCCCTTCCTCTCTCTGCATCATTAAACACATTTTTTAAAAATAAAAAGGTGGCAGGTGGCGGCCAGTTCCCCTCCCAGAAGCAGGCAGGTTACGGTTTTAGGGACAAATGCTTTGCACGGTGTGCCTCCGGGTGAGTGCGTTCAGTCGGGTGGTGATTGAGTCCCTGGAACGAGGTCCGTGAGGGGCCTCGGCAGCAGGCCGTGGTGTTTCCCTCGGAGGGTGGGCCCAGCTAAAGGACGTCCCGGGGCCCTGACGTGGGAACTGCTCACAGATGTGACATGAGCGTGTCCATGTGCTGCCCAGCTGGAGCCTGTGCCAGTCCTGTTCCCCCCCCCACTACACACACACGAATTCGTGGGGGGAACACTCCCCCATTTCACAGACGGCCGAGGAGGCAGTGCTCTGACCTGGGTCATGCAGCCCCTCGGGTGGAGGAGCGGGGATTGGAACCCAGTGCTGAGATCTTGTGTAAGGAAGTGGCCTCCCTGCCCTGCCCTCTGGGACCACCAGCCCTCAGTGTCCTGGGCCTGCAGCTCACGCAGCCCCTGCGCGTGTCTCGACTGTGCTGGGTGGTGAGTTGGTTGCACTCCTGCAGGAAGGAGGGGGGCTGACCACAGCGTCTTGTGCAAACGGCCTGCAGGCAGGGCCTCCTCCCTCCCCGGCTCTCAGGCTCTCGGAACTGCTCTGCCTTTCCTGATCGCCCCCCTCCAGGGCCCGAAGAGGGGAGATGGGGCAGCTTTTCGGTTCCCTGGGCTCTCCCATCTGTCTGCCCAGGGCAGAAGGAACGCGTAGCGAGCCGCGGGCTGCGGTCTGGTCTCCAGCGCTGTTCCCACGCTGCCAAGGTCTCCTGTGTGGCCTCAGGCCAGGCCTTCACCCTCTCTGGTCCTCGGGACATCCACGGGCTGTCAGGGGCCCGGGGTGGGGGCAGAGCGAGGATTCGTCTCTTCAGTGTTTGGAAAACTGTGGGTGGAAGCTGGCCAGGCTGTGGGGACATTCCAGATCCTGAGAAAGGCGTTGGCTGGGGATCCCCGAGCGTGGCTCCCGGCACCCCGTCTGTGAGGGTGTGGGGAGCAGTGCCCTGTGCCCTCCCACAGGGGATAGTTGAACACCTCGAGTGCAGAAGGTCTCTTAAAGGTGACTGTTCAAACCTGCAGGCTTTGTGCACAGACAGGTAAGATTTGCAAGCTGTGTTTTTAGAAGTTTAGCACAGAGTCGGGCTTTGCAATTTGTGACTTTAATAAATTGAATAGAGCTTTAAAAAAACAAACAAGGTAAAACTGCCAAAATTGGTTTTAACTTTAACCCACTTGTGCCCTACCTGTGTTTGGTGGGATAAGTCTTTAGGCGTCAGGTAAGGACATGGGGGGCAGGGGTGACCCTGAGGCCTTTAGAGCTGGGATGTCAGGGCCCCCACCGGGTTCCTTACACAGCCAGCACCTCATTTTTAAAAAGTTCATCGTGTTGCATTCTTTTTCTTAAGAGGGCCCCCAAATGATCGTCAGGACCCCCAGATCTAAATGCGGAGGCTGAGCGCTGAGCCTCCTGGTGGGTGCGAGGAGTAAGGGTCCTCTGACGTTTCTGCAGCACCTGCTGGGCCGCCCTCTCTCCTGGGAGGACCCTCCACAGTGACCCTCCCCGAGATGTAACCGCAGGCCCGAAGAGAACGCAGTCATGGCCTCTCGCACTTTTCTCTTTCCTTGGGCCCTTTAACCGGCGACTGCCTTCAACAGCGACTTTTCACTTCCTGGTAGGGCCCTGGCAGGCTCCCCAACATCCAGAAATAGCCGCAGTGGGTACTGCACTCAGGCGGAGCGGCCGGAGGCCGATTAGATAGAGTGAGTTACAGGCATACTTTTAGGTTCATGAGGCCACCGAAGGGGGTGGCTCCTGGGATAAAGGCCCAGGCGCCCGGGGCAGGGGGTGGTGTGCACTGTGCAGGCCCACACCCCGCACAGCCCACGGCACCCTCCCCGCCTGATGGGCGTTCCCGCCCGCTGTACTGAGTCAGAGGTTCCCGCAGGGCGAACCCCATCTGTGCGAGCCCCAGCGCCATCAGCGGAGTGCTGACTGTGCCAGGCACCGGAGGCCTCTGAAGTCCACATCATCACCCCATTTTGCAGATTAAGAAACGGAGGCCCCGAGGTTAGGTCTCTCAGCAGAGCAGGCTGTGAGGAGCTCCATCTGCCATGAGTCACTTGTTAACCGAGCCACTGCTTTTACCTGTCAGGTAGCTAGACATTTCCCAGGTTCTTAGAGCTGTCGCCATGTGCACAGGGTGAGGCCGGGCCTGGGTCGCCGGGCTGTTTCACTGTCAGGGTCTGATCTATCCCAGGAGTTAACGAGCCTTCCCGTTAAAGCCGCCGCTAGGACGATGTGCTAGGACGATGCACGTTTATTTAAAAAGAAAACCCCGCCGTCATTTGTAAAGCTGCCCTGGAAACAGCAGCCGGTGTGTGTGTGGTGGGGGGACTTGGGGGGAGCTGGGAGCAGCTTGGGGAGGAGCCGCGTGGAGGAGGGGGCTGTGGGCCGAGAGGCAGGGCTGGGAGGGCCGGCGCAAGGGCTGGGAGTGGGTGCTCCTTTCCGGTGTGAAAGCCTGAGCACCCGAGGGTGACGCCCACACCCACGCCTGCCCCTGTGCAGGACCCCTGACACCGCAGCGGCCCGTCCACCCCGTCCCCGTCTCAGAGGTGCCTGCCCCGCCAGCCGCCCTCTCCCCAAGGCCCCGTCAGGCTGCCTGCACCGCCCTCCTGGGGTGGCAGCAGCCTCCTCCCTGGACCCCCTGCTCTGTCCGACGGCCCCGCCCACAGACACGAAGGAATGAGCGGGATCCTATTGAAATGGCACTTCTCTGCCCCAATCGGTCCATCCTCCCGGAAAAACGAAGTGCGAGCCCCCAGGCCGCTGCATGTCCCAGGCCCCTGTGCGATGGGCCCACCCCTCCGCCGCCTCCTCTGGCTCCAGCCACGTGGGCGGCAGCCACGGTCTCACTTCTGGAGTGTCCTCCCCCCAGCACTTGGGGCTGGGCAGCCTTGTGGGGGGGCGTCATGCACATTGTAGGGTGCTGAGCAGCGCCCCTGGCCGCCACCCCTGATGCCCACAGCACGCCCCTCCCAGGACAGTGAGGAAGGCCCGCGACAGGGCCAGCGGCCCCGGGCAGAGGACACGCCTTCTCCGGGTCT